AGATATTTTCGAATTAGTCATGTCCTTATGCTAATAAGTAACTTGCAAAAAAGATTTTTCTTCAACTCGTCTGCAAAAAAAACTCCAGCCAAATCTATTTCGACTTCATATGGATTACATTGGTTAATCAGTTGTGATTTTTAATAAACAATAATGTGCATTATGACGAGTTTTATTTAGATTACAAATTTCCGATCACAGGTAGAATGAACTAAAAAAGACAAACTAATCTATCTCTTGAAGAAAGGCTAAGTTCAGTCTATTGATCTCAACCTTTTCACAAACCTATTTGTCAAAACCGATTTATCAAGGTAAAATTATCTTTCAAAGCAAAGATATTATTCAACACATTTTGTTCCTTATATTGCACAAGAAATCAAATGTAAAGAAGCTATTTTAACAAAAGAACGTGGATTAACTGAAGCACAAGGTCGTCTTAAAGCAATACTTTTAGCGAAATATGGTCATGGTTCTAGTCATATTCCTTTTCTTTGCAATGCATGATGTAAAAGATAGCCTTGTTTTCTTTGGAATAATCTATGAATTTTATTCAGTAAGAAAAATTTTCAGAAAATATGATTTTGTTGATACTTCTTAGAAGTAAATCAACTGTAAAAAAAGATTTTTTTTATCATGGATTCTCTGCATTCCACTCATAATTGCGAACTTGAGATTAAATCTTTTACTAATTATATGATATAGATCTTCACTTCACATGAATCACATCCTACATGACTCAATTAATTTGTCGGGACAAAGGCATTTTGTGAAACACAATCTAAAAGAGAGTGTTGAAGTATTTAGGGGTAGGAATTTGGACCCCCTACCCCCCTCCAGACCGTGACCGACAGCATCACAGACAGTGGTCGACACCATCACAGCGCGTGATCGACATTTTAATTAATTAATTAAGTAGTGTCTAATTAATTACCCATCAAAGACTGTCACAGACCGTGACCGACTCCTTAGCTACGCCTCTCTCAGTCACAGACTGTGATCGATAGCATTGTGAATACCATCTCAGATCATGACCGACAACCTCATAGACCATAAAGGACATAGAATTAAACTGTTTCAGTGTCATCAGTCACAACCGCTATATCGTGTTTCACATTTTAATCCCGTAGGGATTGCGCTAACAGCTTTTTTAATATATTATCATAAACATTCAACCGTCACAAAAATGTCAGATAATATCGTTAGAAAAATGGTGTAATACAGCGAATCATTAATTGTAAAAATTTATTGACAGGTTGAAGAACCGGATACCGATTCTGTAGTGGAATGAAAGCAACATTTGACTGTTTTTTTCAATTAAGTTGAACTAATATAAACAAAATAGAAAAATATAAAACTGATTCTTTACTAATTTTGAATGTTAAAGCTGGTACTCATGTCATACTTAGTACCGGTCTGAATTTTTCAGATCGGACAGGACCGGCCGGTAACGACAGGTCTGAATTCTTGACTAGACTGGCAAAAAACCGGCCGGTCCAAATTTATAACTTGACCGGCGAAAAACCTAGTGGCGGAGCCAAGATTTCGGCCGAGAGGGAGCTCAGCTCCGCATCCATTGTCCAAAGTATCTGTAGCAGTACAAGATTATTTTCAAAATTTTTCAAACTCAATACAGTACTTTGCTGCTTAATATTCTATTTAATAGCTTATTGCTCATCTATTTTTTTAAATATAAATCAACATCTGATCAGCTTTTATTCTAAATTTATTTCATGATATCTTAATCAAATCAACAAAATTCTACTATTTTTGTGCTTCGCAGCAAATATATCAATAAAATTTTCAAAATCTATTTCGATGTCTTTTTCAATAGCCAATACACCAAGATCGCTAAGTCTTTCATCATTCATCGAATTTCGCGCATAAGTTTTTATCAATTTTATTTTAGAGAAGGATCTTTGACAAGCGACGGATGATACAGGAAATGTAATCGCTCCTTTGAGTAAAGCAACAGCGGAAGGAAATGCTTGTTTCATTGACTTTAATTCATTGAGTGGATCCAATGTACTTGATAACTTCGTATTTTCAATCATATGTTTTATAACAGAAATTTCATTCGTTATCATTTTTTTTTCCAAATGTAAATGATCAATTAATAGTTGTAAGAGTTGAATATCTAAGAATTTTTCATTAACCGGTGATAAAGATGCGATGCTGTTTGCTATTTGCAAATTTCCACAAGAAAATCGTTTGTTTAATTCAATCAATATAGAATCGATTGTTGGAAAATACATGGTTATTCGAAAATTTTCTTCAGTAACTATGTGACTAAGTGGCAATCGATTAAATCATGTTTTACTCGAACTTTTCTTCGAGAACATGATGTAATCAGGTCCACGGC